CCACCCTGCACCCAATCAAACACGGTTTACTAAATATAAAACTCCAGTTGAAAAAAAATCTTTGTTTAATATTTTTCTTTGATAGACTAGTCCAAAGCAATGTCTAAACACAGACGTACAGTATCATTAGGCTAATTGTCTAAAAATAGAAACTCATCGTCAAGCGGGATTTGCGGAGTTCAAGATCTAACTTTAAAAACTCATTTCAAATGTACTAAAGGCACAGAGGGTGTGGCTTAATTCCACAGGGTCGATGCACTCGGCTGACCCCGCCCGTGGGTCGGGGGCGGGTGTCGTGAATTTGTGAATCCGGCAGGCATTGCTCTTGCCACAAGTCACCAACACATCAACAACTGGCCAGGTACCACCACCAACACTACAAGCTGGCCAAATCCTCTGCGAACAATATCAAACGCCAGCTTTATTTACCTGTAATAAGACCAGCCATCAGGATTTTGTGGAGAGCAATCTTCCATCCGGTCAATTAATCCCAGAGTTCAAAACTTGCAAGACGCAAGGCCGGGGCTACAAAGGGCGTTCTTGCGCTTGATGGCGCGATCTTGCGCGTGATGGCGCGCAAGGTTTGAAATGGCCGGCGTGTTCAGGTGCGGTATCTGTCAGCACATCCACACCGCTGACTCAAACATGTGCAAAGCTAAGGGGAATAAGCGTGGTTTTCTTATTATTTCCCCTTTAATGATTAAACAAAGAGGCTGAGCGATTCGCCTCCCTTGGCGAGAGTTAACCGTTTCATCGTAGACTTGTCGAGACGGATTATGCCCCTTGTTTGTACCGAGGCTATTACGAGTTATCTCCCTATTTATATCTGGTTACGTTTTTTTAACCGTGGCAAACTTGGGTTGGATCTCTGTATCTTTGTTTTGATTCGAGGTGTCAGACCGGACTTTGTACTGTCCAATGGTAAATGGGGCTTATCAGTCGGTGGACGGTTCTAGAACAACTGTTCTTTGTGGCGTACAGACGGTGGTGATGGTGGGAGGGGGGGGGGGGGAGGGGGGTTGGCAGACTTGTGGGGTGCCGCGAGAAGGTAAATCTCTCACAGTGTCGTTTTTTTTATGTGGTGAAAGTTGTTTTAATTGTTTCCATAGGCCAGCACAATCCTGCACTCAAATAGTGGGTCTACAGGATGAACTGACAAGGTCAAGGTTATTCAGTTCATGGTGCTGTGGGCCTCACTCATACACTGGTGTTGTGGTCCAACCCACTGGTGTTGTGGCCCCACCCACTGGTGTTGTGGTCCAACCCACTGGTGTTGTGGTCCAACCCACTGGTGTTGTGGCCCCACCCACTGGTGTTGTGGTCCAACCCACTGGTGTTGTGGTCCAACCCACTGGTGTTGTGGTCCAACCCACTGGTGTTGTGGTCCAACCCACTGGTGTTGTGGCCCCAACCACTGGTGTTGTGGTCCAACCCACTGGTGTTGTGGTCCAACCCACTGGTGTTGTGGCCCCACCCACTGGTGTTGTGGTCCAACCCACTGGTGTTGTGGTCCAACCCACTGGTGTTGTGGTCCAACCCACTGGTGTTGTGGTCCAACCCACTGGTGTTGTGGTCCAACCCACTGGTGTTGTGGCCCCACCCACTGGTGTTGTGGTCCAACCCACTGGTGTTGTGGTCCAACCATCTGGTGTTGTGGTCCAACCCACTGGTGTTGTGGTCCAACCCACTGGTGTTGTGGCCCCAACCACTGGTGTTGTGGTCCAACCCACTGGTGTTGTGGTCCAACCCACTGGTGTTGTGGCCCCACCCACTGGTGTTGTGGTCTAACCCACTGGTGTTGTGGTCCAACCCACTGGTGTTGTGGTCCAACCCACTGGTGTTGTGGTCCAACCCACTGGTGTTGTGGTCCAACCCACTGGTGTTGTGGTCCAACCCACTGGTGTTGTGGCCCCACCCACTGGTGTTGTGGTCCAACCCACTGGTGTTGTGGTCCAACCCACTGGTGTTGTGGTCCAACCCTCTGGTGTTGTGGGCCCACCCACTGGTGTTGTGGTCCAATCCACTGGTGTTGTGGTCCAACCCACTGGTGTTGTGGTCCAACCCACTGGTGTTGTGGTCCAACCCACTGGTGTTGTGGTCCAACCCACTGGTGTTGTGGCCCCTACCTACTGGCGCTGTTATTGGTGTTGTGGTCCCAGAGCACTTGTTGCGATGTTTGAAGAGATTGAGAGAAAGGTTAACCTAACGAACCAACTCTAAACACACACGCTAAATGTAATACTCGCAATACCCGAATACTTGCGTACCCTTCCTTACATACACATACATACATAAGGGCAGGTAACTTAAGGAGAAAACATGGGGGACAATGACTGAATAGTTTATCAACAAGTTTACCAAGAGGCTCTCAGCGCAAGGGGAAGTTACTCTAACTCCTCCAGCCCAATGTTTACATAGGTGAGTGCCGGTGGTACACGTGGGTTGTTACAGAGCAGTCAAGTATTCCATAACACCATCGTCTGCTGGGGTCAGCTTGGTGTTGCCCCTGGGGGTCAGGGGGAAGTCTTTGTTTGCACGCCCGGGGTGGGGCGGTCTTGCGGGATGCTTCAGATAGCTGTCTGCATACAGAACCACGTGACCCACCTCACCCGGAAGTGACGTTGGCAGCACGAGATTGTGGCACATTATAAAAGGTGGGGGTGGGGGGGGGAGGAGATGAGATGGCCGATAACATGTAGCTGGTGCGTCTTAATTGTGGTCGTGGTGGAGGGGTGGCGCAGGTGGAGCTGATGAGGCGGTCAGGGTTCGGATCTTGGTGGGGGAATGGGAAATATTTTGAGCTTTGTTAGATGTGGTTGTAGCAGGTAGAATGTGGTTGTCGAGGTGTGGTACTTGTGTGTGTCAGGTGTGGATGAATGGGGTACTAGTAGTAAGTAAACGAGCTGTATGGTGGTGGTAGTGTGGTTGTATGGTGGGGGTAGTGTGGTTGTATGGTGGTGCTAGTCGTGTGGTAGTGGGGCTGTTGTCGTGTTGTGGTAGTGAGGTGTCCTACTTAAATAGTGAGTGCAGTAGTTGTGTGCCAAAGGCTCTCTGGATGATTCTAGCTTTCCTTCCATCCAGTTGCCGTTTTATCACGTCGTTCTTGATGTTCACATAAAACAAATTTACCAGGTGGAAATTGAATCCTCTCAGCAAGAGGTGTTTAATATGTGGTGTTTATGGTAAGGTGTTTAAGGTGTTTAATCTCCTGTCAGGTATCTGAACTCTTCTCAGCCCCGAGTGAGACAATCAATTAGGTATTAACCCTCTAAAGTCGAGTGAGACAATCAATTAGGTATTAACCCTCTAAAGACGAGTGAGACAATCAATTAGGTATTAACCCTCTAAAGACGAGTGAGCCAATCAATTAGATATTAACCCTCTAAAGACGAGTGAGACAATCAATTAGGTATTAACCCTCTAAATACGAGTGAGACAATCAATTAGGTATTAACCCTCTAAAGACGAGTGAGACAATCAATTAGGTATTAACCCTCTAAAGACGAGTGAGACAATCAATTAGGTATTAACCCTCGCACTTGGGAGCGCCGGACCTTTAGCGTGGCATTAACTTCCTCGTTAAACCGAGCGGAATAACTTCTAATCGCCACTTAATGGATGTACAGTTAAACATCAACTTTTTTATCGGGTTTTCATTTGAGACACATGGATGAACTATCAAGGTGAACGATGGTTTCGTCCAGGCTAGACTAGTGGAGGTCAAGGCTATATTCAGATTAGGTCATTGGGGTCAAGGTACTGTTCAGATTCGGGTCATGGGGTCAAGGTACTGTTTAGGTTAGGGTCATGGGGTCAAGGTACTGTTCAGATTAGGGTCATGGGGTCAAGGTACTGTTCAGATTAGGGTCATGGGGTCAAGGTACTGTTCAGGTAGGGTCATGGGGTCAAGGTACTGTTCAGGTAGAGTCATGGGGTCAAGTTTATGTCGTTTTCTGTCACATTTAACAAAGAGCTGTTCACAGCAGATAGTATACCAACCACATTTAAACGACTTAGAAATATTATTAAAAGGTGTCTAATAACTAAACAAAGACAGGCGTATATTTAATTCCCAGCCTACATCAAGTATAGACTTTAGAGCCAGCTTATAGGTCAACACGAGAACCGTATGCGTCATCCAGTCCCATACCTGTAATAAAACAACGACTTACACAATCCCTGTACTAAAACAACGACTTACACAATCCCTGTACTAAAACAACGACTTACACAATCCCACCCAGCGTTAACCTACAAAGTTGTTAAACATAAAATCTTCGCCCATGCATATTGTTGCTATTTTTAAACAAACATCCCGGCATGCCCCGAGCTGTTTTCGCACCAACTATTGACCAATTGATCTCGACTTTTCAGCCTCCTGTACGGGGTAGATCCTCGCCTTTGTAGTTTCCCTGTCGTCTCTTTGACGTCGATCCACTCCAAGACTGGCAGAGTCTACAGTAAGCAAGGCGCTGCTCTAGGAGCAACCAATTATCGATAAACGCCGCGTAGGTCTGCAATTATTCAAGTACTCCGGTCCCCATAAAGTAGAATCTTGTAGCTAGCATAGTGTGGTGATTCAAACGGTTCGTGCTTAACTTTTTAAAAATTGTCAGATGTGATGATGTGGGCAATATTGAAAGAAGTGTCGGAGAATTGTACATCACTCTTTCATCTTAAATCCTCATTTACCCACCCACCCACCCACCCACCCATCCACCCACCCATCCACCCATCCACCCACCCACCCATCCACCTAAAGTGTGAGTACTCTACTGACCCACCCACCCACCCACCCACCCACCCAACCACCCACTTACCCACCCACCCACCCAACCACCCACTTACCCACCCAACCACCCACCCACCCACCCACCCATCCACCTAAAGTGTGAGTACTCTACTGACCCACCCACCCACCCACCCTCCCAACCACCCACTTACCCACCCAACCACCCACCCACCCACCCATCCCCCTAAAGTGTGAGTACTCTACTGACCTGATCGCTGATTGTTACTCCCCTTTTTGGCGCGTTCATGGCAGATTTAATCCCAACAGCCTCGTTGTCAAGGCAACCCACGTGACGCGGTACGTGGGCGTGGCAGTATATATCCGGCGCTGTTGATTGGTCCCAGTGAAAAGTCCTCAGAGTCAGCTGAAAATAGTTGAAAATATGACTTTAGCTCGGAGCTGACTTTAGCTCGAAGTTCACTTTAGCTCGAAGTTGACATTAGCTCGGAGTTGACTTTAGCCCGGAGTTGACTTTAGCTCGGAGTTGACTTTAGCTCGGAGTTGACTTTAGCACGGAGTTGACTTTAGCTCGGAGTTGACTTTAGCTGGGAGTTGACTTTAGCTCGGAGCTGACTTTAGCTCGGAGCTGACTTTAGCTCGGAGCTGACTTTAGCTCGGTGATGTTCAGTGGACAGTCGAGCTGTTTACACGTTGAACAGTGGTAGAGTTCTAACAAGAAATACCCCCCCCTTCTCCTACCAGCAAAACTCGCCTAGAATCCAGATAAGGACTTTATCTACCATCAAAATACCACATCCCCATCTACCATCAAACTACCACATCCCAATCTACCATCAAACTACCACATCCCCATCTACCATCAAACTACCACATCCCAATCTACCATCAAACTACCACATCCCCATCTACCATCAAACTACCACATCCCCATCTACCATCAAACTACCACATCCCCATCTACCATCAAACTACAACATCCCCATCTACCATCAAACTACAACATCCCCATCTATCCATCAAACCACCACATCCCCATCTACCATCAAACTACCACATCCCCATCTACCATCAAACTACCACATCCCCATCTACCATCAAACTACCACATCCCCATCTACCATCAAACTACCACATCCCCATCTACCATCAAACTACCACATCCCCATCTACCATCAAACTACCACACCCCATCTACCATCAAACTACCACATCCCCATCTACCATCCCGGGGCTGAACTTTACACATGGGCGTCATACCACCATGTGACACCCGACGATTGTTGATTTAAAAATGAGCACCATTTAAGGACGGTAATCACGTGATAACCACGTGGCCTATTTGTAGCATGGCCTCCCATGTTTGAACACAAATTGCCAGGTTTTTCAGCTTGGGTGGTTAGCGCATGCGTAGAGCGTTGCTCTTCCTAGGAAATAATAGGGTGCCTGTTTGATTTCTTGTTGCTTTTCGCGAATCAAGACACCAGATGGATGGGGGGGGGGGGGGGAGACAAGATCGATTGGGAGGGGGGAGAGACAAGATGGGTGGCACGGAATTGGATATTCAAGTTCATGGTCATACAATTCAGATAGTTTGATGGGGGGGGGGGGGGAGTTTTTTTAAAGAGATCAGTAGCACGAGTTTAAATATGGGGCGTGTCAAGGGGCGTGTATTGGGGAGTAGACAGGGGCGTACTTGTAAACCACAGCTCAACATTTGACCAAAACCTACCTGTAAATCACAGATTACCACGTGACCGAGACTCACCTGTAATCCACAGAGTACCACGTGACCAAGACTCACCTGTAAATCACAGAGTACCACGTGACCAAGACTCACCTGTAATTCAAAGATTACCACGTGACCAAGACTCACCTGTAATTCAAAGATGACCACGTGACCAAGACTCACCTGTAAATCAAAGATTACCACGTGACCAAGACTCACCTGTAATTCACAGATGACCACGTGACCAAGACTCACCTGTAATCCACAGATCCGACACCGGAAACAGCGCCGGTGAAAGAGGGCGCCGACGTCGACCCTCTCGACCGGATACACCCGGCTCCCGCAGCGGTGGCAGGCGTCTGGCAGGGCCGAGCACTCCTCGTGTCCGAAGTCCGAGTCGTTGTCCGAACTCTGGGTGTCCTGCATCAGTTCGTCCATCGCGGCACGTGACGCGTGCATCGCGTGACCCGACGCCATCCCACAATGCCTTCACGGTCGTTGACCCCGAGTTTTGGCAGCGGCGGTCATTTTGTTTACAGATGACCTCAGGCCAGTAGTGTGACGTAGACCACAGGCCAGTAGTGTGACGTAGACCACAGGCCAGTAGTGTGACGTAGACCACAGGCCAGTAGTGTGACGTAGACCACAGGCCAGTAGTGTGACGTAGACCACAGGCCAGTAGTGTGACGTAGACTACAGGCCAGTAGTGTGACGTAGAACACAGACCAGTAGTGTGACGTAGACCACAGGCCAGTAGTGTGACGTAGACCACAGGCCAGTGACGTAGACCACAGGCCAGTAGTGTGACGTAAGATTTCCACAATACTTGAGACTCAAGAACCGCAACCCATTAAGTCTCGCACATTTTATCTCCTTGAATATTCACTTTTCCCACAAGAAAATCATAGATCATAGATCACAATGGAATCAAAATATCACATCTAATCCAGACTTTATGGGAAATAAATAAAAAAATAAATATTTATTCGATGCACACTCCAACCTCGTTCTGGACATCCATTGTAATTTTAGTGGACACCACCGCTGCTGGATGATGGGTCAAGAGATTTGTTGGATGGCAGATGTTGGACGGTGAGTTGTGTACGTCATCGGATGTTGGACGGTACTGGGCGTGTCAGACGACAGATGAACTTGTCAACTTTTGATGTTGTCACAGTTTTATTCTCTGCTGAAGGCAAGTTTTAAAAAATTTCAAATTTCATTATAAAATTACTATTAAAATAAGTGTAAACTCGGTGATACTTACAAGAATTTAAATACACTACATTTTTACAAATATAACACAACGTCTTTGGTTAAGTAGCCGGTTGGGGATCTGAACTCAGGACATTCGGGCTAGCAGTCGTGTGCTCTACCATCCGACACCTCCATCCAATACCACGAATACTATCTGAAGCTTATAATAGGACTAAGTTCGCTTTAACATCACAGCTCACAAACTAGCCAATCGTACAACACTATGTGAAGAGATGACATAATACCACCAACAATACCACTAATTATACCACCACCAACAATTCCACGTACAATACCACCCCCAACGATACCACCTACAATACCACCCCCAACGATACCACCTACAATACCACCACCAACGATACCACCTACAATACCACCACCAACGATACCACCTACAATACCACCACCAACGATACCACCTACAATACCACCAACAACAATTCCACGTACAACACTGTGAGAAGAGATGACATAATACCACCAACAATTCCACCAACTATACCACCACCAACGATACCACATACAATACCACCAGCAATATCACCTACCATAAAAACACTGAAACCTTTAAAGCGGTTTACTCCACACTTCTCCCTTTTCCCAAACTTACCCATATCCCATACCGACTGAAAGCCTCCTATATCCCATACCCAGTGAAAGCCTCCCATATCCCATACCCAGTAAAAGCCTCCCACATCCCATACCCAGTAAAAGCCTCCCACATCCCATACCCAGTAAAAGCCTCCCATATCCCATACCCAGTGAAAGCCTCCCATATCCCATACCCAGTAAAAGCCTCCCATATCCCATACCCAGTAAAAGCCTCCCATATCCCATACCCAGTGAAAGCCTCCCATATCCCATACCCAGTAAAAGCCTCCCATATCCCATACCCAGTGAAAGCCTCCCATATCCCATACCCAGTGAAAGCCTCCCATATCCCATACCGACTGAAAGCCTCCCATATCCCATACCGACTGAAAGCCTCCCATATCCCATACCCAGTGAAAGCCTCCCATATCCCATACCGACTGAAAGCCTCCCATATCCCATACCGACTGAAAGCCTCCCATATCCCATACCCAGTGAAAGCCTCCCATATCCCATGCCGACTGAAAGCCTCCCATATCCCATACCGACTGAAAGCCTCCCATATCCCATACCCAGTAAAAGCCTCCCATATCCCATACCCAGTGAAAGCCTCCCATATCCCATACCCAGTGAAAGCCTCCCATATCCCATACCCAGTGAAAGCCTCCCATATCCCATACCCAGTGAAAGCCTCCCATATCCCATACCGACTGAAAGCCTCCCATATCCCATACCCAGTGAAAGCCTCCCATATCCCATACCCAGTGAAAGCCTCCCATATCCCATACCCAGTGAAAGCCTCCCATATCCCATACCCAGTGAAAGCCTCCCATATCCCATACCGACTGAAAGCCTCCCATATCCCATACCCAGTGAAAGCCTCCCATATCCCATACCCAGTGAAAGCCTCCCATATCCCATACCCAGTGAAAGCCTCCCATATCCCATACCCAGTGAAAGCCTCCCATATCCCATACCCAGTGAAAGCCTCCCATATCCCATACCCAGTGAAAGCCTCCCATATCCCATACCGACTGAAAGCCTCCCATATCCCATACCCAGTGAAAGCCTCCCATATCCCATACCCAGTGAAAGCCTCCCATATCCCATACCCAGTGAAAGCCTCCCATATCCCATACCCAGTGAAAGCCTCCCATATCCCATACCCAGTGAAAGCCTCCCATATCCCATACCCAGTGAAAGCCTCCCATATCCCATACCCAGTGAAAGCCTCCCATATCCCATACCCAGTGAAAGCCTCCCATATCCCATACCCAGTGAAAGCCTCCCATATCCCATACCCAGTGAAAGCCTCCCATATCCCATACCCAGTGAAAGCCTCCCACAGACAACGGAAGTGTGAGTGACGGAAATCAATCTAAGCACGGATTATCTCAGCACGGATTATCTCAGCACGGATTAGACGGATTTACAGTGACCTTGACCTGATAGAAGAGGATTATGTTCCTCACGTGACGCCCGTAACTCGCTTGGATTCGAACTCACAACAGACAGGATTAAGCCGGCGTTGATATCCCATCGGGCACGGTATGAGTTGGAACAAACTGTATCCCAATAGACGAGGTTCGAATACCTGATACACCGGGAGCTCGTGTACACATGAATAAATATAAAAACTCAAAGTACTTTTACTAATGGCGTTATTTTCAACAACAACAAAAAACGTTAGAATAATAAGCTTTTCGTTTTTTGCACTAAAAGAAAATAAATCATTTTCTTTAAATGTATAATATTGCACTACTGTGTATATAATTTTAAAGAAAAGCATTGGAATGTCATTGAATTTTCACCTATGTGACAAGTTTGAAAGAAAACGGTTCGTTAGAAGTAATATAAATTAGTTTCCAGTGCATATACTTGGTACATTGGTACATAATACCTCAAGGAGAGTTTGTGGGGTGGAAGAAAAAGAGGAAGAGGGGGGGGGGGGGTAAACGGGAAGGTTTTTTCATAAATTGTATTGAAATGGTTGGGTGGTAACAAAAAAATTGCAGTTTATTGGCTTGGTGTCATCACTGCCCTATGCCTTCTCGAACTGGTATCTCTGTCCTACGACTGCTTGGACGTGCCCCATCGAACTGTCATATCTGCCCTCTGCCCCTCCCCGGGCAAGACACATCAAGCAGACGGAGCAGCACTCTACACGCGGACCTACGAGAGCGCATGCTGTGATCAGCCAAACAACATGGCGTCCATGTCTCCATACACGACGTGTGTGTCGACGTGGAATGCTGGGTAAAAATAGAGCATGCTCCACCCCTGCCCCGCACCCCCACCCCACCCCCGCCTCCACTCTTGTTAATTACAGGGAGAATTTTTGCGCAACGGGATGTTTTAAAACAATGTAATTATATTATGTCGCACACATAATCAATACGTGCAATTCAATTTAAATCACGTGATAAACATATTAGAGGGAGGGTGAAGGTCGGACACATGGGCGGCCATTATTTCTTCATGCTACAGCTACAGCCCATACTGATATATATATATATATATATATATATATATATATATATATATATATATATATATATATATATATATATATATATATATATATATATATATATATATATATATATATATACATGTATATATATATATATACATGTATATATGTGCATGTATGTATGGTCGTAGATAAGCTAAAGCCTGTTGAGCACAGTGTGAGCAGTTTTGTAAGACGTCACACCTGCGGTAACATCTACCAGCTGTGACCACCTTTGTGACGTCACGAGTCCTTACGTACTGTTCACGTGCGCGTCTCCGTCCATAGAAACGGTCGTGGGGTCACGCTGACCTGCGGCTCTGTTTACCCGACCTTTTTGTTGGGCGCCAGATGTCGCGGTACATGATTGGATGAAACAGCTGCCCGAGGATTTGATTCCACCTCACGGCCGTTCGTCACGCTATATCTGATCAGTTGTTTCCGGTTCAGTGGCTCCTAACTAGCTCTGACGTCAGATGTTGCTGCACGTTGTCTTCGTCAGAGCTGGCAGTTGAAATGTCAACAATATTGGAAATATTCGACCAATGGAAATATTCGACCAATAGAAATATTCGACCAATAGAAATATTCGACCAATAGAAATATTCGACCAATGGAAATATTCGACCAATAGAAATATTCGACCAATAGAAATATTCGACCAATGGAAATATTCGACCAATGGAAATATTCGACCGATGGAAATATTCGACCAATGGAAATATTCGACCAATGGAAATATTCGACCGATGGAAATATTCGACCAATGGAAATATTCGACCGATGGAAATATTTGTGTTAACATTAATGCAACTTTCTGCCCACACAAGTTATACAACAGAAATGTTGAGATAAACCAGTTGTAGTGTGTCGGTCGGTTTATGGGTTGAATCGTGGTTTAGTGGATTGGATCGTGTGGCTGAGTGTGGTTGTGGCGAGGTATTTCGGCTGTATGTGTATGTTAGTGTAGTTAGATGGTTGATGTGGTAGTTAAAATGGTAGTTGTATGTTAACAAAGGCACAATTTACCGTCGAAATATGAGCTTCTTCAATTCTACTGGGCCGTGGAGGCTGATGAAGTGGGATCAGGGGTGGGGGAGGTTGATGAAGGGGGGTCAGGGGTGTGGGAGGTTGATGGAGGGGGTCAGGGGTGGGGGAGGTTGATGGAGGGGGTCAGGGGTGTGGGAGGTTGATGGAGGGGGTCAGGGGTGTGGGAGGTTGAT